AGGAGCTGCCTGCCGAGGAGCTGCCGTGCCGAGAGAGCTGCCGTGCCGGAGGAGCTGCCTGCGAGGAGCTGCCGTGCCGGAGGAGCTGCTTGCCGTTCCGGAGGAGCTGCCTGCCGAGGAGCTGCCGTGCAGGAGGAGCTACCGTGCCGGAGGAGCTGCCTGCCGAGGAGCTGCCTGCCGAGGAGCTGCATTGCCGGAGGAGCTGCCTGGAGGAGCTACCGTGCCGAGGAGCTGCCGTGCCAGAGAAGCTTCCTGCCGAGGCCGTGCCGAAGCTGCCGTCCCGGAGGAGCTGCCTGCCGAGGCCGTGCCGGAGGAGCTGCCGTGCGAGAGGAGCTGCCTGCCGAGGAGCTGCCGTGCCGGAGAAGCTGCCTACAGAGGAGCTGCCGTGCCGGAAGAGCTGCCTGCTGAGGAGCTGCCTGCCGAGGAGCCGCCGTGCCAGAGGAGCTACCTGCCTAGGAGCTAGCGTGCCGGAGGAGCTACCGTGCCGGAGGAGCTGCCGTGCGGTGGAGCTGCCTGCCGAGGAGCTGCCGTGCCGGAAGAGCTGCCTGCTGAGGAGCCTGCCTGCCGAGGAGCTTCCGTGCCGGAGGAGCTGCCTGCCGAGGAGCTACCGTGCCGGAGGAGCTGCCGTGCCAGAGAAGCTTCCTGCCGAGGCCGTGCGAAGCTGCCGTCCCGGAGGAGCTGCCTGCCGAGGCCGTGCCGGAGGAGCTGCCGTGCGAGAGGAGCTGCCTGCCGAGGAGCTGCCGTGCCGGAGAAGCTGCCTACCGAGGAGCTGCCGTGCCGGAAGAGCTGCCTGCCGAGGAGCCGCCGTGCCAGAGGAGCTACCTGCTAGGAGCTACCGTGCCGGAGGAGCTTCCTGCCGAGCCGTGCCGGAGGAGGCTGCCTGCCGAGGAGCTGCCTGCCGAGGAGCTGCCGTGCCGGAAGAGCTGCCTGCTGAGGAGCTGTCGTGCCGGAGGAGCTGCCTGCCGAGGAGCCGCCGTGCCGGAGGAGCTGCCTGCCGAGGAGCTTCCGTGCCGGAGGAGCTGCCTGCCGAGGAGCTACCGTGCCGGAGGAGCTGCCGTGCCAGAGAAGCTTCCTGCCGAGGCCCGAAGCTGCCGTCCCGGAGCTTGCCGAGCCGTGCCGGAGGAGCTGCCGTGCGGAGGAGCTGCCTGCCGAGGAGCTGCGGTGCCGGAGAAGCTGCCTACCGAGGAGCTGCCGTGCCGGAAGAGCTGCCTGCTGAGGAGCTGCCTGCCGAGGAGCCGCCGTGCCAGAGGAGCTACCTGCCTAGGAGCTAGCGTGCCGGAGGAGCTACCGTGCCGGAGGAGCTTCCTGCCGAGGCCGTGCCGGAGGAGCTGCCTGCCGAGGAGCTGCCGTGCCGGAAGAAACTGCCTGCTGAGGAGCTGTCGTGCCGGAGGAGCTGCCTGCCGAGGAGCCGCCGTGCCGGAGGAGCTGCCTGCCGAGAGCTCCGTGCCTGAAGGAGCTGCCTACCGAGGCCGCCTGAGGAGCTGCCTGCCGAGAGCCGCCGTGCCGGAAAGCTGCCTAGCTGCCCCTGCCTGGAGGAGCTGCCTGCCTAGGAGCTGGAGGAGCTGCCTGCCGAGAGAGACTGCCCTGTGCCGGAGGAGCTGCCTGCTGAGGAGGCCGTGCCGGAAGGAGCTGCCTGCCGAGGAGCTGCCGTGCTGGACGAGCTGCCTGCCGAGGAGCTGCCGTGCCGGAGGAGCTGCATGCTGAGGAGCCGCCGTGCCGGAGGAGCTGCCTGCCGAGGCCGTCCAGGAGGAGCTGCCTGTCGAGGCCATGCCGGAGGAGCTGCCTGCCGAGGAGCTGACCGCCGAAGCGTGCCGGAGGAGCTGCCGTTGCCGGACGAGCTGCCTGCCGAAGAGCTGCCGTGGTGGAAGAGCTGCCTGCTGAGGAGCCGCCGTGCCGGAGGAGCTGCCAGCCGAGGCCATGCCGGAGGAGCTGCCTGCGGAGGAGATGCCGGAGGAGCTGCTGTGCCGAGGAGCTGCCGAACTGCCTGCTAGGAGCTGCCGGAGGAGCTGCCGTGCCGGAGCTGCCTGCCGGAGGCCGTGCCGGAAGCTACCGAGGGCGTGAGCTGCCTGCCGGAGGAGCTGCCTGCCGAGGAGCGCCGTGCCAGAGGAGCTACCTGCCTGAGCTAGCGTGCCGGAGGAGCTACCGTGCCGAGGAGCTTCCTGCCGAGCCGTGCCGGAGGAGCTGCCGTGCCGGAGGAGCTGCCTGCCGAGGAGCTTCCGTGCCGGAGGAGCTGCCTGCCGAGAGCTGCCGTGCCGAGGAGCTGCTGCCGAGCCGTGCCGAGGAGCTGCCGGAGAGCTGTGGAGAGCTGCCTGCCGAGGAGCTGCCGCCGAGGAGCTGCTGCCTGAGGAGCTGCCGTGCCGGAGGAGCTGCATGCTGAGGAGCCGCCGTGCCGGAGGAGCTGCCTGCCGAGGAGCTGCCGTGCCGGAGGAACGAGGAGCTGCCAGGCCCTGCTGAGGAGCCGTGCCGAGAGCTGCCTGCCGAGGCCATGCCGGAGGAGCTGCCTGCCGAGGAGCTGCCGTGCCGGAGGAGCTGCCTGCCGAGGAGCTGCCGTGCCAAGGAGCTGCCTGACGAGGAGCTGCCGTGCGAAGGAGCTGCCTGCCGTGCCGAGGAGCTGCCTGCCGTGCCGGAGGGCTGCCGTGCCGCAAGAGCTGCCTGCCGAGGAGCCGCCGTGCCGGAGGAGCTTCCTGCCGAGAGCTGACGTGCCGGAGGAGCTCCCTGACGAGGAGCTGCCTGCCGAGGAGCTGCCGTGCCGGAGGAGCTGCCTGACGAGGCGCTGCCGTGCCAAAGGAGCTGCCTGACGAGAGCTGCCTGCGGAGGAGCTGCCTGCCGAGGAGCTGCCGTGTCGGAGGAACTGCCTGCTGAGGAGCTGCCGTGCCGTAGAAACTTCCTGCCGGAGCTGCCTGCCGAGGAGCTGCCTGCCGTGCCGGAGGAGCTGCCTGCCGTGCCGGAGAAGCTGCCTGCCGAGGAGCTGCCGTGCCGAGGAGCCGCCGTGCCGGAGGAGCTTCCTGCCGAGGAGCTGACGTGCCGAGGAGCTGCCTGCCGGAGCTGCCGTGCCGGAGAGCTGCCTGCCGAGGAGCTGCCGTGCCGGAGGAGCTGCCTGCCGAGGAGCCGCCGTGCCGGAGGAGCTGCCTACCGAGGAGCTACCGTGCCGGAGGAGCTGCCTGCGAGAGCTGCCGTACCGGAGGAGCTTCCTGTCGAGGAGCTGCCGTGCCGCAGGAGTTGTCTGCCGAGGAGCTGCCTGTCGGAGGAGCTTCCGTGCCGTAGGAGCTGCCTGCCGAGGAGCTGCCGTGCCGGAAGAGCTGCCGTGCCGGAGGAGCTGCCGTGCCAGAGGAGCTGCCTGCGGGAGCCGCCGTGCCGGAGCTGCCTGCGAGGAGCTGCCTGCCGGAGGAGCTGCCTGCCGAGGAGCTGTGCCGGAGAGCTGCCTGGAGACCGTGCCGGAGGAGCTGCCTGCCGAGGAGCCGTGCCGGAGCTGCCTGCGAGAGCTGCCGTGCCGGAGGAGCTTCCGTGCCGAGGAGGAGGCTGCCGTGCCGGAGCTGCCTGCCGAGGACCGGAGGAGCTGCCTGCGAGGAGCCGCCGTGCCGGAGGAGCTGCCTGCCAGAGGAGCTGCGTGCCGAGGAGCTGCCTGCTGAGGAGCTGCCGTTGCCGGAGGAGCTGCCTGCCGAGAGCTGCCGTGCCGGAGGAGCTGCCTACCGAGGAGCTGCCGTGCCGGAGGAGCTGCCTGCCGAGGAGCTGCCGTACCGGAAGAGCTTCCTGTCGAGGAGCTGCCGTGCCGCAGAGCCGAGAGCTGCCGTGCCGGAGGAGCTGCCTGTCGGAGGAGTCCGTGCCGAGGAGCTGCCTGCCGAGGAGCTGCCGTGCCGGAGGAGCTGCCGTGCCGGAGGAGCTGCCTGCCTCGTGCGTGTGCCGAGGAGCTGCCTGCCGAGGAGCTGCCGTGCCGGAGGAGCTGCCTGCCGAGGAGCTGCCCGTGCGGAGAACTGCCTGCCTGAGGAGCTGCCGTGCCGCCTGCCGAGGCCGCCGGAGCTGCCTGCCGAGGAACTGCCTGCCGTGCCGGAGGAGCTGCCTGCCGTGCCGGAGAAGCTGCCTGCAAAGGAGCTGCCCGTGCCGCAGGAGCCGCCGTGCCGGAGGAGCTTCCTGCCGAGGAGCTGCCTGCGAGGAGCTGCCGTGCCGGAGTGCTGCCTGCGAGGAGCTGCCCGTGCCCGAGAGAGGAGCTGCCGCTGCCGGAGGAGCTGCCTGCCGAGGAGCTGCCGTGCCGGAGGAGCTGCCTGACGAGGAGCTGCCTGCCGAGGAGCTACCGCCGGAGCTGCCTGCCGAGGAGCTGCCTGCCGCAGGAGCTTCCGTGCCGGAGAGCTGCCGTTCCGGAAGAGTTGCCTGCTGAGGATAACGTGCCGGAGGAGCTGCCTGCGAGGAGCCGCCGTGCCGGAGGAGCTGCCTGCCGAGGAGCTGCCGTGCCGAGGAGCTGCCTGCCGGAGGAGCTGCCTGCCGAAGAGCTGCCGTGCCGGAGGAGCTGCCTGCCGAAGAGCTGCCGTGCCGGAGGAGCTGCCTACCGAGGAGCTGCCGTGCCGGCGGAGCTGCCTGCCGAGGAGCTGCCACCGAGGAGCTTCCTCTCGAGGAGCTGCCGTGCCGCAGGAGTTGTCTGCCGAGGAGCTGCCGTGCCGGAGGAGCTGCCTGTCGGAGGAGCTTCCGTGCCGTAGGAGCTGCCTGCCGAGGAGCTGCCGTGCCGGAGGAGCTGCCGTGCCGGAGGAGCTGCCTGCGAGGAGCTGCCGTGCCGGAGGAGCTGCCTGCCGAGAGCTACCGTGCCGAGGAGCTGCCGAGAGCTGCCGCTGCCGGAGAGCTGCCTGCCGAGGAGCTGCCGTACCGGAGGAGCTTCCTGTCGAGGAGCTGCCGTGCCGCAGGAGTTGTCTGCCGAGGAGCTGCCGTGCCGGAGGAGCTGCCTGTCGGAGGAGCTTCCGTGCCGTAGGAGCTGCCTGCCGAGGAGCGCCGTGCCGGAGGAGCTGCCTGCCTCGTGTGTGTGCCGGAGGAGCTGCCGACGAGGAGCTGCCGTGCCGGAGGAGCTGCCGTGCCGAGGAGCTGCCGCTCGGAGGAACTGGCTGAGGAGCTGTCGTGCCGTAGAAACTTCCTGCCGAGGCCGTGCCGGAGCTGCCTGCCGGAGGAACTGCTGCCGTGCGGAGAACTGCCTGCCGAGGAGCTTGCCGTGCCGCAGGAGCCGCCGTGCCGGAGGAGCTTCCTGCCGAGGAGCTTGCCGCTGCCGGAGGTGCTGCCTGCCGAGGAGCTGCCGTGCCGGAGGAGCTGCCGCCGAGAGCCTGGCCGTGCGGAGGAGCTTGCCGTGCGGAGGAAGCTGCCTGAGCTGCGAGGATGCGGGACTGCCTGCCGAGGAGCTGCCGCTGCCGCAGGAGCTTCCGTCCGAGGAGGCTGCCGTTCCGGAAGAGTTGCCTGCTGAAGAGCTAACGTGCCGGAGGAGCTGCCTACCGAGGAGCTGCCGGCCGGAGGAGCTGCCTGCCGAAGGAGCTGCCGTACCGAGGAGCTTCCTGTCGAGGAGGCTGCCGTGCCGCAGGAGTTGTCTGCGAGGAGCGCCGGCCGGAGGAGCTGCCTGTCGGAGGAGCTTCCGTGCCGTAGGAAAGCTGCCTGCCGAGGAGCTGGCCGTGCCGGAAGAGCTGCCGTGCCGGAGAGCTGCCTGCCTCGTGTGTGTGCCGGAGGAGCGCCTGACGAGGAGCTGCCGTGCCGAGAGCTGCCTGCCGAGGAGCTGCCGTGTCGGAGGAACTGCCTGCTGAGGAGCTGTCGTGCTGTAGAAACTTCCTGCGAGGCCGTGCCGGAAGCTGCCTGCCGAGGAACTGCTGCCGTGCCGAGGAAAGCTGCCTGCCCGTGAGGCTGCCTGCGAGGAGCTGCCGTGCCGCAGGAGCGCCGTGCCGGAGGAGCTTCCTGCCGAGGAGCTGCCTGCCGAGGAGCTGGCCGTGCCGGAGGTGCTGCCTTGCTGCTGCTGCCGAGGAGCTGCCGTGCCGGAGAGCGCCTGCCGAGGAGAGGAGCTGCCTGACGAGGAGCTGCCTGCGAGAGGCTACCGTGCCGGAGCTGCTGCCTGCCGAGGAGCTGCCGTGCCGGAGGAGCTTCCGTGCCGGAGGAGCTGCCGTTCCGGAAGAGTTGCCTGCTGAGGAGCTGCCGTGCCGGAGGAGCTGCCTGCCGAGGAGCCGCCGTGCCGGAGGAGCCGCTGCCGTAGGAGCTGCCTGCCGAGGAGCTGCCGTGCCGAGGAGCTGCCTGCCGAGGAGCTGCCTGCCGAGGAGCTGCCTGCCGGAGGAGCTGCCGGAGGAGAACCGTGCCGGAGAGCTGCCGAGGAGCTGCCGTGCCGGAAGAGGAGCCGTGCCGGAGCTGCCTGCCGAGGAGCTGCCGTGCCGCAGGAGCTGCCTGCCGGAGAGATCCGTGCCGAAGGAGCTGCCGTGCCGGAAGAGTTCCCTGCTTGAGAGCTGCCGTGCCGGAGGAGCCGCCGTGCCGGAGGAGCTGCCGTGCGAGAGCTGCCTGCCGAGGAGCTGCCGTGCCGGAGGAGCTGCCTGCCGAGGAGCTGCCGTACCGGAGGAGCTTCCTGTCGAGGAGCTGCCGTGCCGCAGGAGTTATCTGCCGAGGAGCTGCCGTTCCGCAGGAACTGCCTGCCGAGGAGCTGCCGTGCCGAAGGAGCTGCCTTTCGGAGGAGCTTCCGTGCCGGAAGAGCTGCCTGCCGAGGAGCTGCCGTGCCGAGAGCTGCCTGCCGAGGAGCTGCCATGCCGAGGAGCTGCCTGCCGCGAGGAGCTGCCGTACCGGAGAGCTTCCTGTCGAGGAGCTGCCGTGCCGCAGGAGTTGTGCCGAGGAGCTGCCGTTCCGCAGGAACTGCCTGCCGAGGAGCTGCCGTGCCGAGGAGCTGCCCTTCGGAGGAGCTTCCGTGCCGAAGAGCTGCCTGCCAGGAGCTGCCGTGCCGGAGGAGCTGCCTGCCGAGGAACTGCCATGCCGGAGGAGCTGCCTGCCAGAGAGCTGCCGTATCCATGGAGCTGCCTGAGGAGCTGCCGTGCCGCAGGAACTGCCTGCCGAGGAGCTGCCGTGCCGGAGAGCTGCTTTCGGAGAGCTTCCCGTGCGGAAGAGCTGCCTGCCGAGGAGCTGCCGTGCCGGAGGAGCTGCCTGCCGAGGAGCCGTGCCGGAGGAGCTGCCTCCGAGCCGTGCCGGAGGAGCTGCCCTGCGAGGCCGTGCCGGAGGAGCTGCTGCCGAGCCCGGAAGGTGCTGCTCCGAGGCCTGCCTCGTGTGTGTGCCGGAGGAGTGGCCTGACGAGGCGTTTGCCGTGCCAAAGGAGCTGCCTGACGAGAAGCTGCCGTGCCGAGGAGCTGCCTGCGAGGAGCTGCCTGTCGGAGGAACTGCCTGCTGAGGAGCTTCCGTGCCGGAGGAGCTGCCTGCCGAAGCCGCCGTGCGGAGGAGCTGCCTGCGAGGAGCTGCCCGAGGAGCTGCTGCCGGAGGAGCTCCTGCGAAGAGCTGGCCTGCCGAGGAGCTGCCTGCCGAAGAGCTGACCGTGCCGGAGGAGCTGCTACCGAGAGCTGCCGTGCCGGAGGAGCTGCCTGCGAGGAGTGCCGGACCCGAGAGCTTCCTGCGAGGAGCTGCCTGCCGCAGGAGTTGTCTGCCGAGGAGCTTCCGTGCCGGAGGAGCTGCCTGTCGGAGGAGCTTCCGTGCCGTAGGAGCTGCCTGCCGAGGAGCTGCCGTGCCGAAAGCTGCCGTGCCTGCCGGCCCGTGGAGGAGCTGCCTGCCGAGGAGCCCGCCGTGCGGAGGAAGCTGCCTGCGAGGAGCTGCCCGAGGAGCTGCCGTGCCGGAGGAGCTGCCTGACGAGGAGCTGCCGTGCCGAGGAGCTGCCTGCCGAGGAGCTACCGTGCCGGAGCTGCCTGCCGAGGAGCTGCCGTGCCGCAGGAGCTGCCTGCCGGAGGAGCTGCTCGTGCCGGAGCTGCCTGCCGAGGCCGCTGCCGGAGAGCTGCCGTGCCGAAGAGTTGCCTGCCGAGAGCTGCCGTGCCGGAGGAGCTGCCTGCCAGACCGTGCCGGAGGAGCTGCCTGCCGAGTTGCCGTGCCGGAGGAGCTGCCTGCCGAGAGCTGCGGCGGAGGAGCTGCCGAGGAGCTGCCGTGCCGGAGGAGCTGCTGCGAGAGCTGCGGAGAGGAGCTGCCGTGCCGCAGGAGTTGTCTGCCGAGGAGCTGCCGTTGCCGCAGGAAGCTGCCTGCCGAGGAGCTGCCGTGCCGAGGAAGCTGCCTTGTCGGAGAGCCGCCGTGCCGGAGGAGCTGCCTGCCGAGAGCCTTGCCGAGGAGCCGAGAGCGCCTGCCGAGAGCTGCCGTACCGAGGAGCTTCCTGTCGAGAGCTTGCCGCAGGAGTATCTGCCGAGGAGCTGCCGTGTGCCGCGAGGAACTGCCTGCAGGAGCTTTGCCGTGGCCGGAGGAGCTGCCTTTCGGAGGAGCTTCCGTGCCGAAGAGCTGCCGCCGAGAGCTGCCGTGCCGGCGGAGCTGCCCTGCGAGGAGCTGCCATGCCGGAGAGCTGCCTGCCGAGAGCTGCCGTACCGAGGAGCTCCTGTCGAGGAGCTGCCGTGCCGCAGGAGTTGTCTGCCGAGAGCTGCCGTTCCGCAGGAACTGCCTGCCGAGGAGCTGCCGTGCCGGAGGAGCTGCCTTTCGGAGGAGCTTCCGTGCGGAAGAGCTGCCTGCGAGGAGCTGCCGTGCCGGAGGACGAGGGAATGCCATGCCGGAGGAGCTGCCTGCCAGGAGCTGCCGTATCGGAGCTGCCTGCCGAGGAGCTGCCGTGCGCGTGCCGGAGGAGAGAGTGCCCTTCGGAGGAGCTTCCGTGCCGGAAGAGTTTGCCTGCCGAGGAGCTGCCGTGCCGGAGGAGCTGCCTGCCGAGGAGCTGCCGTGCCGGAGGAGCTGCCTGCCGAGGAGCTCCTGCCGAGGCCGTGCCGGAGGAGCTGCCTGCCGAGGCCGTGCCGAGGAGCTGCTGCCGAGGCCGTGCTCGGAGGTGCTGCCTGCCGAGGCCGTGCCTCGTGTGTGTGCCGGAGGAGCTGCCTGACGAGGCGCTGCCGTGCCAAAGGAGCTGCCTGACAGAGCTGCCGTGCGGATGGCGCCTGCCGAGACCGCCGCCGGAGCTGCCTGTCGGGAGGAGCTTCCGTGCCGTAGGAGCTGGCCTGCCGAGGAGCTGCCGTCCGGAAAGCTGCGTGCGCGGGAGGCTGCCGTGCCAGAGGAGCTGCCTGCCGAGGAGCCGCCGTGCCGGGGGAGTGCTGGGCGCGGCCGAGGAGCTGCCTGACGAGGAGCTGCCGGTGCCGGAGGAGCTGCCTTGCCGAGGAGCTACCGTGCCGGAGCTGCCTGCCGAGGAGCTGCCCGTGCCGCAGGAGCTGCCTGGCGAGGAGCTGCCGTGCCGGAGGAGCTGCCGTGCCGGAAGAGTTGCCTGCTTAGGAAGCTGCCGGCCGGAGGAGCTGCCTGCCGAGGAG